AAAAAATAAATAAAATTATTACAAAAAAAAAACAACAAAAAATTAAAGAAAAAATCTTAGTAACTGTAAATGAGGAAATGTTAAATTTGGAGAAAGTTAATTTGGAGAAAATAGAGAGGGCTAAATTTGTTTTGAATTTTAGTTTGGAAGAAATACAGGTATTTAACTTTTTAAAGTGTATGTAGATGAGGTGAGATGGGCTATCCGAACCCCCGAATTTTTTGACTCGAACTTTTTTCTCTCTCTTTCATCCCTGGTATTTATATAATACTAGGTGCTGCCCCTGAACACTCGAGGGAGGGGGGGGGGTTATGGGGTTTTTGGTTGAGGAAGCAATTTAGATTGGTTGAGGAAGTAATCTTAAATAGTATTTCACATATTTATGTTCGAAGTTTTCAAGTTTGACTACGAATATAGTACATACGTAGGGTTGGGGGTCCGGTTTGGTTCAGTTCGGAAGATCCAACCGGGCCTCGAATTTTGGCCCGAAAAAAGACTCGGTCGGGCCGGTTTGATAAAAACGAGGTCCGAAACAAATTACTCGAACGTCGGCCCGGTTCGAAAAATCCAACCCTATACATACTACAAAATTGAGAAATTCTCAAATTCCAAATTTAAGTAAAGCACACACTCTAAAATATCTCTCATTGTTTATCTCAATTTTTTTTTAAAATTTCAGTCACAAATAATTATGGAATGTTTTGGCTATTCAGAATTTACAGAATTCAACCTTTCTAAAAATCAATTGGAAAAAGAATTTACAAAAAGAATTCCAAAAATTCTTAAATTAACAGATGCTCAATTATTTAAAATTAAAGAAAAAATAAATAAATTAAAAATAGTAAAAATATTTTTTTTAATTAAATTCGGCTCTATCCGAAAATAATGCCGGCATCCAATTTTTCCTTTCCTGCTCGAATGAGGGAGAAAAAGTTAATTTTTCAGCTGTAGTATAGTAAACTGATGGTAAGGTAATTTTGTCCAAACTTATTCAATCACGGTGATTTTGGTGTCTTTTAGCTTTGGACCGAGATAATTGTAGGCCACCGAAAATCGAAAAACCATAGGGGACAAATGTTAGCCACCGGTGTACTATACTACATCTGAAAAATTAACGTTCTCTCCCCCATTCGAGGAGGAAAGGAAAAATTGGATGCCGGCATTACATATTTTCGGATAGAGCCTTAAATTCTTTTTTAGAATTACAAAATAAATTGTACAACATTTAGTCAAGTTACAAGAAAATTAATTTTTAAAGATAAAGAATTACTAGGTAAAGAAAGGAAATCTTTTACTAATTTATTTTAATTTTAGAACCTTTAATTTTGCCATTTTTGGCAGTATTGCGCGACTTTGAAGTGGATATTTGGAAAGGGGTGGATGAGTTTATTGATGGGTTATTAAAAGAATAAATGAGAGAATATTTAATTTTGTTTTTATTATTTTTTATTTATTGTTATTTATTTTTCTATGTACTATATAAATTTTGTTTTGAATGTTTAAAATTAATTTTTTATGAAAATCTTAATTTTTTAATTTATCCAAAATCTGCAAAAGCCGTCTAAAGTTTTAGAAAAACTAGGCGAAATAAAGGATTAGAGTGTGATGATAAAAGCAAATAAAATAAAAAAAGTAATTAAGAATTATTTAATATTTGAGTCGTTCTTATTATTGTCAAAAATATTTATAACTTTGTTAGAAATCTGTTATGTCCAAATCCAATATCAATAAGATTCTAGAACAGGGCTCCGATCTCAAATTTTTAAAAATCCACAATTTTGAGCTAAAACCGCATTTTATATCAAAATTCCTCAAATAATTATAACACGCATTATTATGTATATGTACTTGTACAATTTTATACCGAAAAATTAAATTTTATCCCATTTTACAGACATTAAGAGTTTAATAAAAAACTTTCAAATAAATTCTAATTAATTTTTCAATTACATTCATCGAGGTTAGCAGCAATATCATTAGTTTTTGCTAAATTCTCTACTCCAAGCTTTTGTATATTTTGTGGATTAATTGTCGATGTATGTCCAGTTGCGTATCGGGAAAAGAGTGGGGGTGCGTGGCTACCCGCAGTCATTGGATGTATAGCAGAAACGGACTTTCCAAGCATTTGTTTGTACATCACCAAGCAGTCCCGTTGAATTGATTTGTTCATTGTTAAGTAAATGACAGGTGGAATTCCTCAAAAATGTTTATGAAATTCTTTTGTGAAACTAAAATTTCAAGAGTGAATAAACTTTGATTTCTATTTCAGCAAAAAATGGCTCTAAAATCGACCTCGCTCTAAACTAAGGTATAAAACTACTGCTGCCCTCTCGACAGGATTTAGTATCAAATCAATCCACTGAAAGACTGATCTGTGTTAAGTATGGGCGACATCTCTTATGCTACGGTTACATAAAAATCGCGCGCGACACGCGACAGTCGCTAGGCGACATGTCGCCGGCGACAGTCGCTAGTGGCGTGGTTACATAAAATCGGCGTCTTCCGCAAAAGCGACTGTCGCAAAGCGACAAACGCTGATTTTATGTAACCACGCCACTAGCGACTGTCGCCGGCGACATGTCGCTTAGCGACTGTCGCGTGTCGCGCGCGATTTTTATGTAACCACTAAATCCGATTAAAAATTTTTTGAATATTTACTAAAATAAAATTTATAAAATCAAATCATTTTATTCTGCCATGGTACCGATCAGGTTTTTTTAATTCGTAGTACATCATTTTTAAATTACTTGCTGGTGGCGCTCCTCTCGTATCTAGTGAAATCTCGTGTTTTTTAGAGGTCTCGTATCTCGTATTTTGCCACAAGACATGAGATATTTTCAATATACCTATTTTAGAAAAAATGTCAACAATTTGGGACTATTTTAGGATCCTAGAATTAGGAAAAAAGGAAGAAATCTTTCCCAGTGGTATCTTGCCCAGAAATCTTGCCCAGTGGCAGTGGTATATAGAAATTTTGCCCAGTGGTATACACTTTGCAAAAATTGGATTTTCAGAAAAACAAATGGCAGGAAAAATACAAAAAAAATTCTGTGAACATTTTCATCAATACAGGGTGTGGCATAAGTAACCGGACACTTGTTTTCTCTCATAACTTTATTAAAACACAATCAAATAAAATCAAAATACAATCAAATGATAGAGAATTAAATAAGGAACAAAAATAATCAAGAAGATTCGAAATGCCCACCCTTGGCTTTGATCCAGAGGCGAAGGCGTGAAGAAAAATTTTCGCAACTAGCACGCACCTCCTTGAGCAACTAGCACGCAACTCCGGTTACTTATGCCGCACCCTGTACTGAGTAGAAAATAAAAAAGAACGAAGTCCGTAACTGTTTTCATCATGGAGATCTCAAATCACAAAAATCAACGGGAAAACGGGGTACAGTACTTTAAAAATTATTTTAACCCCCAGGGCTTATATTAAAATTTTCTTTTGGGCTCATTAGAAAGCCCATAAAATTTACTATAAGATAGCCCAGGCTCAATTTTTCCGATAAAAAATTCATGGAGATAGGGGGTCCCGGAATCCCGGGTTTTTAGCGATAAACGGGATTACCGGGATTTACGGGATTAATCCCGCGTGATCCCGTCCCGGTCGAATTTTGGAGAGACCCACCGTTCTTCAAATCATCCTTTATCACTCCAAATATACCGTTATCCTTCTAAGTCTACATATAAGCATTCAAATACTCTTAATCTCTCTTAATCCACAGATATCCCACTTAATCCTCTGATATCTATTCATTCCTCCGTTAATCAGACGAAATCCAGATATTGTCTCCAAATCCGCCAATATTCAACATATTTATAATTTAAAAATTTTTTTTGTGAAAATCCCGGAATCCCGGATTCCCGGAACCGCCGGCGGAACCGAAATCCCGGAACCGCCGGCGACAAGTCGCCGGCGGAAATCGCATTTTATGTAACCACTCAAAAAAGCGACAAAGTCGCGCGCGACAAGTCGCCGGCGGAAGTCGCTTTTTATGTAACCACTCAAAAAAGCGACAAAGTCGCGCGCGACAAGACGCCGGCGGAAGTCGCTTTTTATGTAACCACTAGAAAAAAGCGACAAAATCGCGCGCGATTTTTCTCTCCTCTTTTTACATTATCTTTTCTGTCGCGTGTCGCGCGCGATTTTTATGTAACCGTAGCATTAAAGAGTTTAGTATAAAAGCTTCGCTCTCTCAGTCTTATTCCGTCTTCCTACCCCAATCGTCATCTTCTTGTATTTTCTACGTGTGATAAACTTTCTGTTGTCTTCCTCTACGTAAGCGGGGTCGTAACAAATTGATACCATTTTATTTAATACGCTATTAAAAAGAAATCCCCCACCATGAGCATTAACCCAAGCTAATTGTGCAATTATAATCAACATTTCGTTAACATGGAAATATTGCATATAAACATAAATTGAAGCAGCAGTAGCGTTAATTAAGCTAATCAAAAGGACTTGAACAAAAATCTAATTAATTAATATTATATCAACAATAAAAAAGTTAAAAAACCATTTTTTCAGAAAAGCTATGTTGATCTGAAGACTGGTTTCTTCCTTTAGATCTTGCAAGTAAAATAAGGTAAAAAGCTACATAGGTAACAACTAACATAACCAAAATTATATTGTTGTGAATTGTATGGATTATATTCTCATACTAAAAATAATATGTGATTTTTAATGTTAAAAAGGCTTAATATAAGCTCTAATATTGAATAAAAGTTAGGTCATGCTATGTCAAAATAGTAGAGAATAAATTTTGTAGGATAACGATTATATCATCACAAAAAATATTTATAATTTTGAGAGAAAATCTTTAAAAATGACTATTTTCCGATGAAAAATGACTGATCTAAAGGATATGATAGGTCAATTTCAAGCTTTCACTAAGAGTTGTAGATATAACAAAATTATAATCTAAAGCGTATTATGTCTATCACTGCACCCCGTACTTATCTAAAAGGAATTCTATGAAACCCAATAATAATTAAACTACAATTCCATTAGTATCATCAATATAATCGACATGTGGATTAAAAAACCAGCTAAAATATATCCCGCTAAAAATTAATGGTCGTGTGCATAATGACATAAGAATTCCATAAATTGTTGGAATGCCGAGCCAGAGAATCATCTTTTTACCTTAAAATTGATAAATAATTTTTAATTTTTCTCTAAGAAATTTTGTGAAAATAAAAATAATTTTTATAAGTTGGGATCAAAATAAAATTATCATTAAAAACATTTAAGTTCCATTTATTACCATTAAACCATTTGTGTGCCAATTCATCAGACCAAAGTTCGGCGCAACGATTTATTGCTAAGACAGTCTCCATTGTTGATTCAGCACACCAACAACCTTGGAAATCAAAATATTATCAAAATATAAAATATAGAACAAGGATGTCATGGGTACTCGAGACTTTTTTTAATCAAAAACCCAACCAAAGACAAAAGGGGACAAACGCGAATTTTTCAAAACCCCATGACATCCATTATATAAAATAACCAAGTCCATAAGCTCCAAAGAAATAAATAAGTTTTGGAGAAGAACAAAAAACATAACCATAATAACCCAAATAACCAGTCAACAATCCATTACACAAAAGTGTTAACATATCAATAACACCGATAACAAACATTATTTTGTAACAATGACTATTTCTCATCCTTTTCCATATTGAAAACATACAGGGGATATATAAAATCTGATGTTAAAGAAAAAATAAATTTTTTGTTAAGTAAAACATTCGATTATAGATATAGTCAGGCAATAAGCCTTTTCAAGATTATTTCTGTTTTAGTAACTATAATGCTAATATAATATAAGTATTATAGCTAATTTACATCTAGAATCGAGCGTTATCTTAGTAGTTCTTATTTTAACTTTTTAATAATTTTTTCTTATCTACCTATTTTAATTTGTATATTATTATGATACTTTTTACAACAGGCTCCGATTAAATCGTTATATATGTATGTACATATACCTTGGATCATCTCCTCATTATAATTTTTACCTCATAAATCGCCGACATTGATAAGAAAAATATTCCAAGCCATTCATGCTTACGTTTCTCCAAAGGTATTTTATCAATACTATAGGAACTACAATTATATAAACGTTCATATTCATCAGGGTTAAAGAAATAAACATCCATTTTTAAATTAGAAAAATTTTAATCTTAATTAATTACTTAATTATTTATCGGATGATAGGTTATTTTTATTCAGCTATATTCTTTTTCGTAAACAAAGGGGCCCAAATGTCGAAACTTTGAAGAGAAAACGTCGGAATTTGGAATTTTAACCAATTCTACAACTCAAAGACGGTTACGAGTAAAGAAATAATTCCTTAATGGAATACAGGAACACGAATCCGAAATTTCAAACACTTGATTTGTTTGGTAATGCGAAGGATTTGATATTTAATAAGGTGATACTTAAAAATATTCTGCTTTTAATGGATAACATAATGCAAACGAGACTCGCATAAATAACCCTTAAAAATTTCAAATTTGTATATTCTAATTTAAAATATAAAAAATTTTAATTTATAATAAAGAAAAAGAATGAAAATTTAATTTTCAAATTAAATTAAAACATTTTCTTGAAAAAATGAACATTAAAAATTAAATTTTCTTTTAAAATAATTGTCTATAATTAATTATTTTAATATTTTAAAATAATTAAATTATATATTCAAATAAACTTTAATACAAAATTAAATTTTCTATTAAACACTCTAATATATATAATTAATAATAAAATTTTCCATTTAACAAATATTTAATTTTAAAAAATTATTTTATTCATTCTCTTTCGAAGAAAGAGGGGTGCGGGGGGTGGGGGATTTCCGTCATCAACAAATGATAAAAAGAACAAATTAAAAATTTATTTGTTTATTGGCAACATTATTTGTTAATATATTTTCATTAAATTTTTGATTAATAAGTAGAATTAGAGAGATTAATTTGATATTATTTTTAATTATTTAAGGATTATAGTTTGTTTTGGGGTCGAGTTAAAGTTAAAACAATTGAGAAAATAGAGGAGAAGTACATATTTTATAGAGAGCTATGCTACATAGTAATGTATGTTAGGTATTTAGTATTAATTAGAAATTTAGTTAAATTCATTGTCAAATTTCTTGAGAATAATGAGGAAAATTTTGGGGAGAAACCAAAGTAACCGAGAGAAGTATAATTTCAGTAAATCATTGGGGTATAATTTTTAAACGAATATTATCTACATATATGCCGAAGATTTCATATTGGTCCTTTCATCTTATTCTGGCTTCATTGAATTGCATGTTGTGGTATATCTGGACCCTTTTCAGTACCATTACGTGGAAATGGCGGGTGGCTTCCTGTGGTTATTGGATGTACAGTAACATTCTTTCTAATAATTTTCTTAAGCATTCCGATACAGTCACGTTGGATTGATTTGTTCATTGTTAAGTAAATGACAGGCGGAATTCCTTAATTATTTTTTAAGTTGAGTATAACTAAATCATAGGGATAGGAGTTTTATTTTTAAAATCAAATTTTTTCAAAATGAACGAAAAATTAAGAATTTTTAATTTAGAAATATCGTAGTCATTGTTAGTAATTAAAATTTATTTATCGGATATTTTTGTTCGATTTTTCAACATAGGTATCTTGGTTATCTCCTAAAAATCTCAACTCTGGTTATAACATGCATTTCATTTTTTATTACATAGGTATTACCATGAGCATTAACCCAACTAAAAAGTCCAAGAATAATCAACATTTCGTTAACATGAAAATATTGCATATAAAAATAAATAAAAGCAGCTGTAGCGTTAATTAAACTGATCAAAAAAACTTGCAAAAATATCTAAAATAAAAAGGCATGTCTCTAAAAATTATTTTATTTAAAAACCAATTTTTCTGAAAAAGTTTGCTGATCAATTGGCTGTCTTCGATCTTTGGATCTAATTAGCAAAATAATGTAAAACAAAATATAAATAATCACTAATAATGCCAATATTATATTATTATGTATTGAATGTAGTAAATTCTCATACTAAAAATAATTACTGTATACATTCAAATAATTACTTTCGCTCTTTCAGATTATTACCACTACTCTTTCAGTTGAAAATAATTACCCAGGGGAATTATTTGAGAGTATAAAACATATTAAGACGATTGGTCATTATTAAGTATAAGGCATTATTAAGTCGATTGATAACAGTGACTTACAGTTTCATTGGTATCTTCAATGTATGACAGATGTGGATTGAAAAACCAACCAAAGTAAATGCTACTGAAAGCTACGGTTTTTGTAAAGAATGCCATTGCTAAACCATAAATTACTGGAATTGAAATCCAAGCAAACAACTTTTTACCTTAAAAAATTTAAATTCATTTTTTTACTTTCCCATGAAATCTAATGAATTTTGATAATTACCGTTAAACAATTTATCTGCTAAAACGCTTGACCAAAGCTCAGCACAACGGTTTATAGCCAAAACAACCTCCATTGTTGTTTCAGCACACCAACAACCTTATTTAATAATTTAGATCTCAAAATAATTTTTACTCTTTTACCTAGTGCATAAGCCCCAGCAATATAAATGAAACGCGGGGAAGAACAAAAAACGTAACCATAATAACCCAAATAACCAGTTAATAATCCATTACACAAAAGTGTTAACATATCAATAACACCGATACAAAACATTATTTTGTAACAATGGCTATTTTTCATTCTTTTCCATATTGAAAACATACAGGGGATATATAAAATCTGATGTAGAAAAAATAAATTTTTTTATAAAATATCAGGAACACTCGAAATCCTAAATTTTGCCTGCGGCACTAAGAAAGTAAATTTTTCGATTTTTTGCCTATCTCAAGGCAGATATGTACGAGTTAGAGGCAATGATATACATAAATGCAAAGTACAATAAATAAATTTGAAATTTCCAAACATTGCTAAGGTTAACTGTTCCTGTTATCTGGAACAGTAAAAGGACAAGATAACTTGAAATTATCGGTTTGGATATAGGTCCTGGTTTTGGATAACCGAAATCTTCGGTTAGTAATTGTTCCAATTCCGGCTAACAGAAATTTTCGATTCAGTTCATAAGAGCTCTACAATTCAAAATTAACTTTCATAATCACCTCATAAATAGTCCCAATTGAAAAGAAAAAAATTCCAAGCCATTCATGTTTACGTTTCTCCAAAGGTATTTGGTCAATACTATAGGAACTACAATTATATAAACGTTCATATTCATCAGGTTTAAAGAAATAAACATCCATTTTTAATTTAGCAAAAAATTTTAATCTTAATTAATCACTTGATAATGTGTTATTTTTATTCTTTATATTCTTTCGCGTAAAAGCGCATGATAAGAACCTCCAGTTATAAGAAATCTGAAGTCTTAAATTTGAACTGGCCAAATGTTGGAACTCGGAAATTACTTATAATAAAAAAATCACGGAATTATTTTAAAAATACTTTTAGACTGAATTCAAAGTTTTTTTGAAATTTTCGGTTATATTACTGTAAACATATTAGTAAATGACAGACTTGAAATAATTAAAAGTAATTATTTCTTAAAGTAAATAATTCACTAAAATTTAACTTTAAAATTACTTATAAATGTTAAATTTTTTATTAAATACTTTAATTATCTTGGCGGCATGGCAACTTTTACACTTAAAATTATTCAAGCAAAATGTAACGAAACTTTCAAATTTTTTGTTTTTAAGCCTATTTAATTATTTTATAACACTTTTATACTCATTATCAGATTTATTTCATAGTAACATTTTAAATAAATACATATTTTAATTATTCTTTTTTATACAACAAATGTTTTGTTTATTATAATAATGAACTTAGAAAACATAAAAGTAATAGAAAAAGTTAATTAGTTACGTAAAATGAAATTGTAGATCAAGTCCAATTTTTTACGTTATACTCGACGTGTCATATAAGTACAGAATTATATTGAATTTATGTTTGGAAATGAATAAAAATTATAATGTAGTTTTTTTTTAGAATTTATTGAGTATTTTTATCTACTTGTGTTTATGAGTTTAGGTTGATTTTCGAGGTATCTGGACTTTAGGTTAAGAGATTGGCTTAATTTATTAAATTTTATATATCAACCTATATGTATGTTTAGGGTTGCCAAAAAGACCCAAACTAAAACAGAAATTCTATATATGATTACTGGAATTTTTGTAGAATTTTCCATAAATTTATAAACATGAAAATTCAAAGTTTGTTTATACTAGAGTAGTTCGATCGAGTACGAGGTTACTTGACACGATCGCTCGGGGTTTTTCGTCCTCACTCGGTCTCGGAACTCGGGGTCCTAATACTGGGGCGATACTAATATCTTAATACATACTCACCAGACCCGGTGTAAACCGTGTCGGGGTTTTCCCAATTACTCGGTACTCGCTCGGTTTTTCACCCAATTACTCGGTACTCGCTCGGTTTTTCCCCCAATTACTCGGTACTCGCTCGGTTTTTCCCCCAATTACTCGGTACTCGACGTACTCTAGTCTATAAGAAAAAGAAAGCTATTCGCTCTATCATGAAATAAACGACATCAACGGGACTGGGACGTTTTGGCGCGGCCTGTTTGGTCTTACTTTTAAAATTAAATTAAAATATTGAATTAAATTTAAATATTGCCCCCGTT